TCGTGTTTGCAGTGATGCTGGTGTAAACAAACCTGTGCTGCCCGTCATAAAAGTATAGCACATACAATTATGTAGGGTACATAATGCATAATGATAATACCTGTGCTACTATTTTACATATTTGTATTTTATTGTTTTTAGAGTGTACTCCTTTTTTTAAAAAATATATTTTTATTGATTTCAGAGAGAGGAAGGGAGAGGGACAGATAGAAACATCAATGATGAGAGAGAGTCATTGGTGGGCTGCCTGCTGCACGCCCCCTGACTGCGAATCGAACCACAATGTCCTGGATCATAGGTCAATGCTCAGCCACTGAGCCACGGTGGCCAGGCTAGAGTATATTCTTTATACTTATAAAACAAGCTTGCTGTAAACAGAATGCCGTGTTCCACCAGCAGCAGCCTCATTCATACATCTCATTTATCTTGTCCCTTGATTGCATAATTTTCTTTTGTGCTTGAGTTGATCTTGCGTTATGTACAGTAATGTGCTGTACAGGTGTGTAGCCAGTGAGCAGTAGGCTATACCATGCAGCCTAGGTGTGTAGTAGGCTATACCATCTAGATTTGTATAAGTGCACTCTTGAGAAGTTCGCACAATGACAGAATTACCTAATGACACATTTCTTAGAACATATCCCCATTATTAAGCCGCACAAACCCATGTGTAAAATCCTCCCTCTTTTTAGCACACGACTCTGCACCTTGCTTTTTCATGTAAATACATATCTTAGAAATTTTCCTGTGTTCATAAAGTTTCCTTTTGGGGGAAGTAACTCATATTAGTTAGTGCCTCACTGCTCTGAGGCCTCGCACCATGCTGGTGTTGAGTAATCAGTAGCGTGTTTGCTGCCAACGTGGGAGTCTCCCATCTGAGACGGTGTCCAACACAGTGTGCTTTTTGCCTCCCCTAGGGCCAAGGCCCAGAGAGGCTGGTGTCTGGCTCAGATGACTTCACCTTATTCATGTGGTCCCCAGCAGAGGACAAGAAGCCACTCGCACGGATGACAGGACACCAGGCCCTCGTCAACCAGGTGCTCTTCTCCCCTGACTCCCGTGTGGTCGCCAGCGCCTCCTTTGACAAGTCCATCAAGCTGTGGGATGGCAGGACGGGCAAGTGAGTGGAGGTTTGGGGAGGGAGAAGAGGGCCCCTGTTCCTCTGGAAGGAGCCTGGCTCCACCACTTTCCAACTGTGTGGCAAGTGTTTGGATTTTCTGAGCCTGTTTCCTCTCTTGTAATAAGAAGACACCTTGCCTGTCAGCTTTGTTACAAGGTTTGAATTAGACAGTATATTTAGCAGCAGCATTAAGTCAACACTGAAAACACTAGTTCATTTCACATCTGAGGAGAGAAATGATCTTAAAGCTGGCCTTCCTCAAAGTGTGGTCCACAGACTAGCAGCAGCAGCAGCATCTGGGAGTTTGATAGAAATTCAGAATCTCGGGGCCCACCCCAGACCTTATGAATCAGAATCTGCATTAAAAAAATTTTTCAAATTAATTTTCCAATTACAGTTGATGTACAGTATTATATTAGTTTCAGGTGTACAGCATAGTGGTTAGACATTTAGTTACCTTACGAAGTGATCACCCCAGTAAGTCTAGTACCCGTCTGACACCATACATGGTTATTATAATATTACTGACTATATCCCCATGGCTGTTCTTTACATGCCCGTGACTATTTTGTAACTACCAATTTGCACTTCTTACTCCCTTCACCTTTTCCCTCCTTCCCCTCAGCCCTCCTCCAGTCTGGTGACCATCAATTTGTTCTATGTACCTATGAGTTTGTTTTTGTTTTGTTTGTTCATTTGTTTTGTTTTTTAGATTTCACATATGGAATCATATGGTATTTGTCTTTCTCTGTCTGACTTATTTTACTTAGCATAATACTCTCTAGGTCCATCCGTGTTGTCACAAATGGCAAGAGTAATATATTGTATACATGCATCACATTTTCTTTACCCATTTGTCTATCAGTGGGTACTTAGATTGCTTCCATAGCTTGGGTATTGTAAATAATGCTGCAGTGAACATGGAGATGCATGTATCTGTTTGAATTAGTGTTTTAGATTTCTTTGGATAAATACCCAGAAGTAGAAATGCTGGATCATATGGTAGTTTTATTTTCAGTCTTTTGAGGAACCTTCATACAGTGCATGAGGGTTCCCTTTTCTCCACATCCTCACCAACACTTGTTTGTTGATTTGTTGATGATAGCCACAGAATCTGCACTTTAATAAGGCGACCAGGTGGTTCTGCTTGTCGTTAAGTCTGAGAAGCACTGGTGTAATGAGGCACAGTGCCCTTGGGTTAATTAGGTTGGAGGAGAGACAAGGGCATGGGCAAGGAGCAAGGGAAACCCTTGGCATCTATGTGTCAGTTGTGTATTTTTACACAGCAACCCTTTGAAATAGGCCGATCAGTTCCTTTTTAAGGTAAGAAAACCAAGTTTCAGAGATGCCTCATAACTTGTCCCAATAGACACAGCTAGTCTGTATTGATCTGAAAGTTTCAGGTGGGCCTGGCCCAGTATTACTCCATGCCACCTGTCAGCAAGCAACTGTCATTTGGGGGGGGTGTCAGGCAGATGGGCTAAGCAGATGGCTGCATTAGATTCTAAGACATGCAAAGTTGAGTGGGTATGGAGGCCTGGCAAGAGACACCCTAGAAGCAGCTCATTTGGAGAAGTTTTACAAACACATAATGGGCAGTGATGATTACATTGGTCTGGGGTGGCGCCAGGCAGTGGGGTTTTGTAAAAGTTCCCAGGTAATTCTAACATGCAGCCAAGATTTAAAACCACTGGTATGGGCATAGAGGCCCCTTCAGACATGTTTGAAGATCTAATCTCACCGGGCCGGTGTGGCTCAGTGGTTGAGCTCCAACCCATGAACCAGGAGATCACAGTTCGATTCCCAGTCAGGGCTCATGCCCAGGCTGTAATTCAGTCCCTAGTAAGGGGCTTGCAAGAGGCAGCCAATCATTGATTCTCTTTCATCATTGATGTTTCTACCTCCCTTCCTCTCTCTGAAATCAATAAAAACATATTAAAAAAAAAAATCTAATGTCCATCATCATCTCCCCTTGGCCCAGGTACCTGGCTTCCCTGCGTGGCCATGTGGCTGCTGTGTACCAGATTGCGTGGTCAGCCGACAGCCGGCTTCTGGTCAGTGGCAGCAGTGACAGCACATTGAAGGTGTGGGATGTGAAGGCCCAGAAGCTAGCCGCAGACTTGCCAGGTCACGCAGATGAGGTATGGCCCACCCTTATGGATATGGAATTGAAGCCTGGCCCTTTTCCTTCACCCTCCTCACTGCCCCACTTTCCCTCTTCCTCCTCGGTTTAGGTGTATGCTGTCGACTGGAGTCCAGATGGCCAGAGAGTGGCAAGTGGTGGGAAGGACAAATGCCTCCGGATGTGAGTGGGGGGAGGTGGTGGTTGGTGTGCTGGGCTCTGCTGCCCTTGAGTCAGTCCTTCTTTGTGACTTTCCCTTCTGACGTAGAATTCTGAGGGTTCACCAGACACCCCGACTGTCAGACGGTGTGTGGGGTCAGGTTCTCAGGGCAGTGGGAAGGCTGTGGGAATTGCAGGCATTATGGGAGCCCGATAGCTCTGAGGCAGCTCTCCAGAGGGCGAGTCCAGGGTCGCTCCAGCGTAAGGCAATAGTTCTTTGTTAGCACAGGATTTGGGAGTTCTAAGACCTAGTTCAAATCCTGGTTCTGCCTTGCAGTGTGCAGTCTTGGAGAGCCTGGCTAACCTGTCTTTTGGGGGTTATCGAACCTCAGTAGACAGGAAGATCAAAGATAGGCTCTTCCTGTCTTGGAACCTGAAGCATTGTGTACTTGTAAAGGACTGTCACCTTGTCATTGGGCAACCTTGGTGGGCATCCCAGGGGCTGGGCCCTGGTCTGAGGCCCTGGTGAGGTAGGCGGTGGGTGGGTGGGTGCCTAGCCTGAGTGAGACTGCGATGGTAGACAGGCTCTGGATGACTTGGGGGGGAACCACAAGTTCTCCCTGTAGTGGGCTCCTAGGATTACATGGCAGCCTCCTTTTCCTATGATGGACTCCCCATCCTGTTCCCTCCCCTTCTTCACAGATGGCGGAGATGAGAAATCCCACAGCTCTCTCTGACCCCCACCTGGACTCAGCCTGTGCCAGCTGCCTGCCCTGACAGAGACCAAAGGCTGGGGTGGTGACCCAGAGAACAGGTGTGGCCTGCTGTCCTTGCACAGATCCCAGTGGGGTCCATCCCCAGAGCAGGAGGTTACCACAGAGCTCAGCCCTTGGCCATCGCTCTGTACCTTCCTGGTGCCATCAAGGATGTCAGGAGACCAGGCAATGACTAGACCCCTGCTGTTCCCCCTGCCTCCTTTCCCAGATGTCAGTTCTATTCGGGTCAGACCCCAGATTGTATGACCAAATAAATAACTTATATTTTGTGTATTTGGGTTATAATCCCTTGTCTAGAATCCTGGGTCTCAACCAGGGTCTGTGTTAATTCAGTTTGTGTAGCCTCCTTTGCACTGGGCTACAGCAGAACCACACTGGCAGGAAGCTGCCTTGCATCTCTCTCCCCTGTGCCTACAAGGGAGAGGCTGGGGAGGCTGCCCGAAGCCCCTAAGATAGTGGCCAGAGGCTAATCCAAGGTTGTGCTGTCTGGTGTGGTATGCACTGGCCACATGTGGCTGTTTCCACTAGCATTCCGTACAGTTAGAAGTGCCGTTCTTAGTCCCACTGGCTCAAGGCTACTTACTATATGGGACAGCATTGTCGTCATCGCAGGGAGTTCGCTGGCCAGTGCTGCTGTAGGGGCGCCTTCCTTGGCCCCTCACCCAACACACTTCTTGAGGCCTTGCCATGCACTGAGCACTGTGCCAGGCCCTCAGGATACAGATAGGAAGGTGATGGCTGTCCCCGAGGAGACTGTAATGGGGCATGCAGTGGTGAGAGCTCTAGCAGAAGTGGGTGTAGGTGTGATATGGGAGGATGATTCTCTGTCCCATAAGGATTTGACGTTGTGAAGGGCTCCCCATCAGGACGTCCACAAACCCTATACCAAGATCTTACCCTCCATGCATCCTGCCTCCACATTCTCCTGTTCAGCACTAAGGCGGATCAACTGAGGTTGAACTTCTAAACCGCCCTTATGTGGACTGCTCAGGGCCATAGCATTTCTAATCTGTTCCTCAGTAACCCTGTGGCCATGCCTGAAATGGTCTCATGTCCCCATGTTTTTTATAAGGAAACAGCCCAGGAAGCTTAAGGTTTGCCCATGCCCTCACATCCAAGAAGAGCCAGAATTAAACTCGACCCTGCCCCAAAGCTTGTGTAATTTGCACCATGTCCCTCAAGAGCTCGTCTGATGCTGACAGTGTGCAGGCTGCCGCTACCTCTGTCCAACATTGCTGTTTTTCCTGGCGTGTGTTTTAACCTGAGTACCAGTCTCTTCCTCCCATGGGGAACAAAGAGGATGGTGCTGGCAGAGCCAGGCAGTAGGTGGTAGTGGCATCTTATTGCCCCACCACCTTTCCCATCCCCCACCCACCTGGACTCTTGGTCCTGGCAGAAGCTCAGAAAGTAGATGCGAATGGCCCAGCTGAAGCTATGCACAGCATGAAGCACAATTTAGGGGTGCTGAGTGACCTGCGGTTCTTTAATGAGGGACCTGGACCTAGCCTAGATCTAGGGAGGGGGGTGCTTAGCAGCTGTGGGCAGTGGCTGACCTGGCCTGCAGTATCCTGGAACCCTCCCCCTTAGCAGGGAAATACTTTTTCCAGATCTTCCAGCTTCCGCATCTCATTCAGTGTCATGGTCACTGTTTTCCGCTGGGGTTCTTTGCGCCTCACGGTGATCTGGATGGGGTTGTTCTCGGGGAAGCTACTCAGGTCATTGGCAACAGTCGCAAACTGAAATAACATGAGAAAACCACTCAGACTTCCTTCCCAGACCTGACCTCTCTGTCTTTGCCACCCCCTGGTTTGCTAAACGGGGTCTTAGCTGGTGTTACCAACCTACCTATCAACACCAGAAATGGGTACAAGGAGGCACGATTCAAACCTGTGATGTTTCCAACCACAGGGCTGTGTACTTAGGCCTGCCCCTCACCCCATGCCCCTACCCATTCCCAGGCTGCTCCCTTCTTTGTCCCTTCAGCCCAGCCTCTTTCCTGTATCTGTCAGTGCCCTTGACTTCCCAATCCATTCACAGTCATTGGTACCAAGGTGAAAGATGAACATTATATTGACGCTGATGAGTACATTAGTTTGCATTCCCAGTGGGCACCAGAATGCCTTAAACTTTAAACCTCGCAGAAGAGAGCAGCCTGGAATTGATGTGTATTTGCGCAGGTAGGAAGAAAGCAAGCAGGAAGATGAGTTGTGGGGGTGTAGGGTGTCCCCAACCTCCAAGGCCCCTGGTATACACTTCTTCCTGACCCCTTGAGCCCCCTTCTCCCAAGGCTCACTTTGTAGGGCTTGCACCACTTCCCCGCCCCGGCTGTGTTGACGGCACGGACAATGAGGCAGTAACTCGTGTTAGGCTTCAGCTCCATCAGTTTGACGGTGGTACCCAAGATCTTGTGGAAGATCCACGGGCAGTTCTTTGTCTTGAGAGGCTTGTCATCTTTGTTGACCACCTCCTGCAGCAGGACCTGGTAGAAACTGACCGGTTGCTTGCCCAAGGCATAGGTCCAGGAAATCTAGGAGAATAGAGCCCCCAAAAGCTTCCTCAGACCTGGCCCTGCCTGTCCTCTCCTCACCCTGACCCCCACCCCCACAGGGGTGGGAATGCCCCACTTCCATCCCCTGTGCCCTACTATTCCCCACTGTACCCCCATTTCCATCCCCTGTCCCTGCTGGAGCTGAGACAAGTCTGATGGGAGATGTAAGGTACTCCCAACTGGATGTGGAACCACCAGCCCAAAGCACATGCTACTCTCCCTCCACAGCCCCACCCACCTTGGAGAGTGCCCTCATTCCATTTCTTCTAGACGAGCAATTTCCAACCAGTGCGCTGCGAGAAGTTTTAGAACATGCAATACCTGACACTAGTCAACCAGTGTGCTGTGGCACATGCATGCTTAAAAGGTCTTGTGGCATACCAGTGTGCTATGGCACACCAGTTGAAAATCGCTGTTCTAGACTGTCAGTTGAGAGGGACCTTAGAGATCGTCTTGTCCACCTCACTCATTGCAGGTGGGGTTCAAGGTTCAGAGAGGGTAAGTCACTGGCCCACAGTCACATAGCAGTTAAGTGACAGAGGCAGGGATCAAACCAATAGCTCCAGAGCTGATATACTTCGTGCTACAACAGTGGTTGCCAAGCAAGCCTAAGGATCCAAGGGAGTTTAATAACACTGCAGATTCCTGGCCTGGTGTCTCCTGTCTGGTCTGCCATTCTGTTTCTCCTCCATCTGGGTCAGTAGTTCTCAAACTGGTGTGCATGAGAGTACTCTAGAGGACTTGTTAAAACACAGATTGCTGGCCCCCACCCTGACAGTTTGTGATTCAGTAGGGTGGCAAGGGGAACAAGAATTTAAATTTCTGCCCAGTCAGCGTTGCTCAGTGGTTGAGCATCGACTCAGGAATGGTTCAGTTCCTGGTCAGGGCACATGTCCAGGTTTCTGGCTTGATCCCCAGTAGGGGGCATGCAGGAGGCAGCCGATCAATGACTCTCATCACTGATGTTTCTTTCCCTCTCCCTCTCTGAAATCAATAAAAACAAAAAAAAATGAATCGTAAATTTTTAAAAAATTTCTAACAAGCTGCCATATGATGCTGACACTGCTGGTGATCTAGGAACCACACTTTGAGAAACACTGCTCTAGGCCTTCCAACAATGGGGCTTCCAGACTTATCTTCCTAAAACAGCTCAAATTGCGTCCCTCACCAGATATAAAGCTAGGACAGTGCTACTCAAATGTGGTCTGGCGCCATCAGTACCACCTGGGAATTTGCTTGTAGTACAAATTCTCAGGCCACATGCCCCAGACCTACTGAATCAGAACCTCTAGAGATGAGGCCCAGGAATCTTGTTTTTATTTTTATTTTATTTATTTATTTATTTATTTATTTTTAAATATATATTGATTTCAGAGAGAGGAAAGGAGAGGGAGAGAGAGAGCTAGAAACATCAATGATGAGAGAGTCATTGATCGGCTGCAGCCCGCAACCCGGGCATGTGCCCTAACCAGGAATCGAACCCTGGTCGCCTGGATCCTAGGTCGATGCTTAACCGCTGAGCCACGCCTGGCCGGGCAGGAATCTCGTTTTTAACAAGATGATCAGATCTGCGTGGATTAGGGCCTGGCTGTTTCTTCCCCCACTTTACCACCTATGAGCTAGTGTCAGCCCCTCTCCGCAATGCCGTACCCCATCTCTAGATGTTTAAATTCTATCTCTGTATCCCAGCTCAAATGTTACCAAGAGCCACCAAGCTAATTCCTGCATCTGGAAATAATGTTTATTTCCCTCTGACTTCCTGGTGGCACTTGATCTGAACCCTTCCGACAGCAATGAGCCCTTTCTGGCATGCGCTGGAGTTCCTTACAAACATGCCCTCTCTCCTAACCCGTGAACTTGAGATCAGGATGCAGGTAGTGGGCATTTTCACACTTCCCACAGAGCCCAGTTCAGTGCCTGGCACATTAGGGGTGGCCAGTAGGCCTTTACCAAATGCACGAGGAAGAAAACGCACCATGGCTGTGTAATCGCTGACTGTGTGTTCACAGATAAAGGGTGCCTCTGGCACATCCGTGACAATGGAGGACTTCGAGGACATAGAGGATGTGTCTGTGTCCAGCTCAGTGTCAAGGTCCAGCAGGCCCCCGGGGGATATTTGGGACACACATTGCTGGGGGCAGAGGGCCAGGTCCCCTTTTTCTGTGTCCTTGGCCACCGGGGAGATCCTGAGTTTGTTCAGCTCTCCTTCTAGTAGCCCTGCAAAGAAGCTACTGTTGGGATGGGTCACAGCCAGTTTGATGGGATTCAACAAGGTGGACGAGACGGTGGAGATGCTGGTGTCATCGGAGCTGCATTCAGATTCCTCCCCTGGCATCGGCTTCCTGGAGTGCGAGGGGAGACAGGTGAGCACCCCAGCCAGCCTGTGCAGCCCGGAAGCTCCCGGAGGCCAGGCCTTGGGCCTGACTTACAAGGGTCCCCAGTTGCTTCTGCACAGCTCAGAACATCCTTACTGCTGTGCAGCAGTGCATCTACCCACCAGGGCACTTATTAGGGGAAAATACAGGTGCCTGGTACCCTGTCCCCAGTTGGGATGGGACTGGGGAAGCTGCTAAAGTTAATGGGATCCTCAGATGATGCTGATGCAGGTGTTCTGAGAACCACAATTTGAGAAACACTGCTAAAACTTTAAGCCCTCCCTCCAAAGGGGGTGCAAATGCCCCAGGGAACGACCACAATGACCTACTAGGGTGTGGAAAAGTATCTAAAAGAAAAATAAATGAAGTTTTAGTAATATGTATTCACTAATATTTAATGTAATTACTAATTTATTTAGTTAGAATTTATAATATTTAATAATATTGATATGTAGCATATAAAATTAACAGATAAATACAAATATTTTGGGATGAATGTCAAAAACTTTTTTCTTCCATTCTAATTTTTTAAAATCATGAGCTATTTTAGATATAGCCAAAGACATCAAGAATAATATAGTAAGCTTTTGTTTAGCCACCATCCAGCTTCAGAACGAAAGCCTCATCAGTACAGTTAAAGTCCCCTGGACACTCCCCCCCTTACTCAGAGGTAACCAGCACAGTACATTTAAACTTTTGTGCTTATTATTCCTCGTGTGTCTTTTTAAAAAAAAACACAAAAAAACAACAAAAAAAACAGAGCATGATTATATTTAATACACAAGTTAGGTACAACCAAAAAGCAAAACACTGCAGTAAATAATAACGAAAAAACATGGTATTTCATTTGCAATGCATGACAAGTGGTTAACATCTTTAGTCATAAACAAGCTTAGAAACCAGTAACAGAGACATTATAATCCAAGGAAACTGAAAAAAAGAAAGTGAAATACAAACATCCATTAAGGATTAAGCATATAGGATAATGGCACTGAAGTGAGAGAAGAGCACTTCCTCTGCAATATCACACTGGCATCTAATGTTTTTCCGTTTTGAACAGTGCTGTACAGTTGCCTCATGTGTCTTTATGGGTTTGTTACATAGGTATGTTATTCCTAAGCAAGATCTATTTTGCATATTTTTAACTTTACATAAATAAATGGTACCATTCAGTACATAGCCATTGGGAGCTTGCCTTTTCATTCCACATTGCGTTTTCTGATTCATCTGTATTATACACGTAGCTCTGTTTCAGTCATTTTAACTGCTGTTTGGTTTTTCATTACAGGGACATCTGTATTGTTACTAATTATTTCCTATTACAAAGAAAAACCTCATACCAGTTTCCCCACTATTTAAGTTGTTTTTTTTTACCCATGAAGTGCAGAATCCCCCCAAGTTGGCTTTCAAATCTTTTTTTTTACCTTCACCCAAAATAAATACATATTACATAGCAACCCAGTGTATTCACACATACACATAAAACTGAAACACAATGCACAAACCAATACTTACTCTCTGTGTAATGTGCTCTGGAATTTTTGATTCTGTTTAATTTCATTTTTATGATACTGGACTCCAGCAACTAAAATGAGTTCCTGACCCATTAACCCACACTTTGAAGAGCATTTGTCCAGAGCAGTCAAGGTCTCATGGTGAACTGATGGCAGCGTTGGAACTAGAACTCAGATCTCTGGGCCCCAGGCCTGTCCTACGCTATACAGTTCCCATCTGTCGCTGGCACTTTCTGGCTCATCTCTGCTTCCTACCCCATCTCCCTCAGCTGCTCTGGCCAAGTCCAGCAACCAACACACATCCCTGGATCCCTTACTCCGGGGCAGCCTCTGGCTTCATGGTTGATTGATGGGCCAAATTTTTCTTCCCTGAGCTCCAGCCCCATTGACCTCCTTCTAAGAAACCCTGCTCAGCTCAAACCTTCTATGCTAGCCCTTGGTGGACACTTAGAATAGATGATTGCCCAACTATACTTCAAATTGTCCCGATGGATCTCTGTTTTAGATTTATCTTTTCAAAAGACCAGTGTTGAAGTGGGCATAGAAGACATCCAGGCACTGGCCTACATGCTGGACATAGTCTCTTCTGGTCTTTATAATAGCCCTGATGGGTGAGTGTTTGCCCCAATTTCCAAATGAGGGACTGAGGATCCCTGATCTTGTCTACAGCCATATACCTAAGTGGTAGAACTTGGACTCCAACTTCGACTCATAGTCCTAGACCTTCCCACTATAGCATGAAGTTTCCTATAAGCATCTATCACTTTAGACATATCTGCTACTTACAGGACCCTTAGAAAAAGGACAACGTATCCCTTTCTTATAATCAGGACCAGCTACATAGTTTGTGGATCCCCTTCTTCAAAAATTATTAAGAATGTCAAGAGAATGTCAGCAGAGCATTAAACTAAGCACAGGGCCCTTTTAAGTGTGGGGCTGTGTGTGACTGTAAAGGTCACACAACATGAAATTGCCCTGCACATAACTCCCTCAGCCCACATCAGCCCGCACCACCACCCCTCCACTGGCTCACTCCTTCCCTTCCTAGGACATTCAGCTCACATTTCACCTCCAAGAAGCCTCCCTTAACTGCATCCTCTCCCAAGCTATGCTAAGCCTCCTCCATTTTCTCAAGGTGTTGGTTCATCGCACAGACCATACTATACTATTCTTGGTTCTTCACACACACACACACACCCAGACTGGAAGCTCCTTGAAGGCAAGGACTATGCTTTTCAGCTCTACATTCCCAGAACTTAACACTAGGCCAGACACCTTGCAAGAGCACCAGGAGTTTTGTGGAATGAAGTAAAGGGAACCCAGAATCACTGAGGAGAAGCAATTAACCTCAGTCTGAAGATAG